TCTCTCTCTCTCTCTCTCTCTCTCTCTCTCTCTCTCTCTCTCTCTCTCTCTCTCTCTCTCTCTCTCTCTCTCTCTCTCTCTCTCTCTCTAAGTGTTCATTCTTTGATGTTTGCCAGAACGCGACTGATTGTTTTGAATTATATCCCTGTAAGTTGTTCTTGCAGAAAGTAGAGGTTGTGACTTGCACATTTACGGAAGGATTCTCATGGAACTCTCGTTCGTCTCTCCTGTTTCTTCTTCTTCTTCCTCTCTCTCTCTCTCTCTCCAAATGTTCTTCGTGTACAAAGAAAAATGAATCTAGTGTCAGCGCAAACTCGGAAGGATTCTTATGAAAGTAGAAAGTTTGGTAAAGAAATAGTTAAACGTCTTCTCTTTGTCTCAGTTATAGTCCTATAACACTTTGTCTCTTATCCGTCTTCGACTTTTCAGAGTTAAAGTCCTTTACCACTTTATCTAATAATCATCTTCGTGACGTCTACGTTGCTTTCCCCGAACTCGTTCAGTCAATCAAAGCAGAAAATTTGGGGAAGAATAAATTGAAGATTCTATGACGTTTGTGGACTCACTTTTCTAAGTTAGAGCCCTGTAACACTTTGTCTAATAATCGTCTTCGACTTCTCAGAGTAAAAGCCCTTTAACACTTTATCTATTGGCCGTCTTCGATTTTAAAGTTCTTGTTATTAGTGACGTTTGCGTTGCCTTGCCCAAACTTCGAATTTTATGATGCACGAAACTTGTGGACTGACTTTCCTGAGTTATAGGCCTATAACACTTCGTCTAATCAGTGCTTTTGATTTTAAGGTCCTTCATCGCGCTTTGTCTCTTTTCTTTAACGTGTTTTGACAAAGTTACCGCTTGTTTTATTTTTTGCGCAGAAATGTTTGGCAAGGCACTAGAGAAGCATCGGTTAATGCAAGCAGAAGAGAGACAAAAACTCAGTAAGCATCGCCACAAGGCTTCAAGTCATCCGTCAGAGTATTTCGCAATGATCATTGATGGGATGGATCAGAGCAAGACTATATTGTCACACTTCACTAGGGTTCCAAAGGATTCGAAACTAAAAGAAGCAAACTTTGTGAAAGTTCACATGGTTGGGGCTAAGGTGTTAGGACTCTCATCGAACGCCTCTGCAATTGTTTTCTTTGACAACTTTAAATCAGATTCTAATTGCATGCTAATTGTTCTTCATCGTCAGATTTCTCAACCTCCTGTACCATTTCCGAGAGTCTTGTATCTTACACTTGATAACACTTGGAAGAGAACAAGAACAAATTTGTCTTGTCATATCTCGTTTTCTTGGTGAAAATGAAAGTGTTTAGTAAAGTTAAGTAATACTTTCTTCTTGTAGGTCACACGCACGAGGACATCGACCAGATGTTCAGTTGTTTCTTGAGAAAGTTGGCTGGACATGGTACGTTCAATCTTCCTGAGTTGCAACACGTGATTAGGAAGTCGTACAAGGTAGAAGAAGATCATGGCGTGCACGTTGAGGAGATGACGAAAACAATGGACTAGAAGTTGTACGTTCAGGATCATCTACATAACGTCAATGATATCAACTGCAACCAACATTTTCGAATCAAGCGCAAAGACGACGGGGAGGTGCGCATTTGGAACAAGCAATATCATAATTCGCAGTGGCAACCGAATGACAGAGAAGGTCTGGACATCTTCAAGTCAGAGCCAACAGGACATGTTTAAGCTTCGCCAAAGCATGCAATCCGATCTTTGGAATCAAGATATCGACTTACTTGTCGGGGTGAGGACGAGAGGCGTGATAAGGTCGTCAGCAGTGAAAGTCATGTCCGTAATCGACAAGCGGGAGGATCTTCGAAATTCAAGGTTGACGGTGATGTACTTTCCATCGCTGACTTGAAAGCCAACGTACATACCCTGTCGCATTACGCTCAACCCCACAACATTGAATGGTGGAATAAGTTCATAGCAACGCAGGAAACTCTCGACCTTGAGCACACAAATCTCAAAGAGTCTTTCGCGTGGCCCTCTGTAACAGCTGATGTCAGCAGAGCAGATGAAGAAGTTCCACCAACCGCTAATGACTTCGACCAACTCTTGGATGATCTTTTCCCTCCTTAGAGACCCATGTACATTGGCGCACGCAAGAGCAGACAGTTTCGCAAGGACAGAGACGGAAAGTACAACGATCTCGAGGTCAACACTTTCATCGCATTACGAGTTTGTTCGGGGCACGAAGAGAGAGGCAAACCTTACCATTTTGGCAAGGTTGTCGAGATGCTAGCATGTAAACGAATCAAAGTTGCTTGGTTTGCACAACGTGAGAAAGGAGAGGGTTACTATGCTTAGTTCAAGACAAATCCTCAAGGAAAGACTACGAGAGAGTCTTCCGAGCACGTCTATGACTGGAGCTGCGGCGTTCTTTGTTACAACTTCCAACTGAAGACAGACAGGACCCTTTTCTCGCAGACTAGACAAGATCTCTCAGGCGTTAAATTTCATGGCAACAGGGGATGTCGACTAGGAAAACCTAGGAACCGATTGCTTCGGAGGTTGGCAGAGAGTCATCGAAATCGAGGTCATTTCTGCTTCCGCATTAGAGCAGGTTTCCTTTTGTCATTGTTCAGCACATTATTTGAGTTTAGTCGTTAGCGGCTTGTAAATTCTTGTAAATTTGTACAACAATAGGTCGCAATTCGCAGCGAGGTACGTGTAGCCAACCTTTTTGTTATCTGAGTTTAGTCGTTAGCGACTTGTAAATTCTTGTAAATTTGTACAACAGTAGGTCGCAGTTCGCAGCCAGGCACGTGTGGCCAACGCTTTTGTTTTCGCGATCTTTTCCAATGTACTTTGCGGTTTTTCACTTTCAATTTTGAGATCGTGTCTGAATTTCGCTGAATTTCCATGATGTTTAACATTGAGTTTATAGGGCTATAAACAGTCTGAATTTCGCTAAATTTTTATGATGTTTAACATTGAGTTTATAGGGCTGTATATAGTTAACCGACTGTGGACTAAAATTATGCTTTTTTTCTACTTTCCTAAAATTCGCGTTTTAGGCCTATAAGGTCTTGTCTGAATTTCGCTGAATGTCCATGATGTTTAACATCGCGTTTATAAGGCTATAAACACTTAACCGATTGTGGACTAAAATTCTTATGTTCGTGTTTCGTTTTCAAACGTTCGTTATAGGCCTATAATTCGAAAAGTACAGTTTTCGAATTTCGAGAGAATTTTTGAGGGTCGCTTCCGAATCTCGCTACATTCGGCTCTTTTCTGCATTTGCACAAATTCACGTTATAGGCCTATAAGGTCGTGTTTGGAAGTAGTTGGATTTCCATGAAGGTCGAATCTGGTCAATCGGCTGTCTACAACTTTTGGAGATTTGAAATCAGTTGTCGTTGGCTGTTTTTTGCTTTCCTCTGGATCCCGTGTTTTTACTGCCTTGGTTTTCAAGCTTCTATTTCCTTAGTATTATGAGTGCAAAGAAAGAGGATTACCAACCCGTCTGTTCGGCTTGCAAGGTTTTCTATTAGTTTTTACGTCCTTGGATTTGGTTCCGGAAAAGACTCTTCTATTTTAAAATAAAATACTACTTAACAATGTACAATGCTGACTAGTCATTTCGTCATGCACTGAAATACCCATAAATTGGAGATCTTTTCGTCGTCCATGAGTAGGAGTCGCCTGTTCTTCTCGAAAATGGGCAATTTTTTTCACGTTGTTGTTGGCCTTGAATATGTACTAATTTTTAGGGGGTGTTTCGATGACATTTGTTCGCGAAACGGTGCAGAATCGACCTTTACTTCTAAAGAAATGCTATGTTTTATTACTGTTTTCTTGTCTATAGGATTTCTCTACTTTTTGTCTGTTTCTCTGGTTTTCACGAATCCATTGTTATACCCCTTGCTCTAGCCATGCAAGCCCCAGCCTCCTGTCCAACCAACCACAATTAAATACTCAGTAGCTTTGTTAAATGACCATTCAATAAACGTTCGGGTGAAACCTTAACAAAACAATGAAAATCACAAAGGTTAAAGCCTTTTAGTGTGAGTATTGAGGGTGAGTTGGAATTAAGTCGTATCCGACGAATCGGCAACCGACCTGTTATCAGTGATAACAAAAGATAATCCTTTGTAGGATCGAGCTGAG